TAGAATCACTGGGGAACTTTGGAACCAGTATTGATGTCTAGGCCTCACCAACAGACCAACTGACTCAGAATTTGTGAAACTATTTATTCAGTATGTATTAAGTGCCTACTGTTTGTAAAGACTACTGTACGTCCCAATCATAGGTCAGAAGTTGAGGGTGATATTCAATATGACTATGACTTTTTCATTGTTCTCAAGCAATTTAGCCCAGGAGAAAGGATAAGAAATAGATACCGTTTATCTAATTCAAAGTATGCAATTAGCATGACTTCAGTGTGAAAAAATTGGATAAATTCTTGAAAGCCAACCGAATCCAACTACAGGTATCATTATGATCCTTTTAAGAGGTGCGACCTCTTGCACAGTAAAAGTGGATAAGAAACACAGAACTCTATCAACTCAAATCAGGAAATAAAGTTTAAAAGAGATTCAGGAAGAATTTTCTGTGGATATGGAGAACCCAGTGGAAGGCTCTTCATGCCTGATAGGAAGATAGGATAAACTTGAGAGTGCCAAGGACCACTAGGTTCATAACCAGACGGCTCCTGTTAGACCAAATAATTAGGTATATGAACCTGGGAAAGGGCAACGCCCTCTAAAGAACATGGACTTGTGGCTCAATATGTTGACAGGAGTGAAAATTTAAAAATCACCCTGGTAGACCCGGTGGTGGGGTCATCCTGGCTTCTGAGAGCTGGTTGGCAATTTTTCAGTGAGCCAGTTGTAAAACACAAGCATTATTTTAAAAATTAGACTATATAAATTTACAGTGAAATGTTAAACTAAAAGTAATAAATACTAAAAACTTGTCACTTTCTAATTATTTTTCTACATGTCTACTTTCAGTGCTGTTGAGGTTATTTATGCTATTGTGTCTGCATAGTGAAAACATTGTCTAATGGTGTGCTATTGGGCATATTGCTCCTACTCTGCATTCAGTGACATCACACTGGTAGTTTGAAACTGGCCACAATGGGAGTATTTACACCACAGAAACTGGCAAATGTTACAAATCAGAGCCTTTCTTTTCTCAGGAGTGGAAACAGGGAGCTGATTGTTAAATATTTTCTACCACACCTACACCACTGGTATTGATAAACAGACCAAACAAATCTTTGGTCTATAGGCAACCTGAGATGGAAACCCCTACTTTCTTGGACAGTTTGTTGCTTTAGTGTGAAAGTTTTGTTTTGTGTCTTAACCTTGGCAAGGTTTCATTGAACCACTGTATTTATTAATAGGTTGTGTTTAATTCAGATATAGGATACTTTTCTTAATATTTATTATGAAAAATTTCAAATAAACAGCAAAGTTGAAGGAATGTTATAAAGCACACCTGTATACCCACCACCTAGATTCTACATTAAACTTTACTTGGCACCATCACATATCTATCCTCTTATCCATTGCTCATGTAGAGGTTTTAAAAATTACTTGCACAATCTGTATGTAATTGGTATTACTGTTTAGAGGATATGGCATATCTGAGGATCTATTAGAGCAATAATATGATTCCAATATTAAATATGGCAATAAGTATTTAGTGAAAATAGTATTGGTATATTTAAGAAAATTTAAGACTTAGCATATCCTTTGTATTTTCAATGAATTAGAATTACTTAAGAATTAAGAAAGTGGTCAGGCTTGGTGGCTTAATCTGTAATCCCAGCACTTTGGGAGGCGGAGGTGAGTGGATTGCCTGAGCCCACAGGTTCGAGACCAGTCTGGGCAACTTGACAAGACCTTGTCTCTACAAAACATTAAAAAAATTAGCTGGGCACATTAATGCATGCCTGTAGTTCCAGCTACTTGGAAGGCTGAGGCAGAAGGATCGCCTGAGTCCAGCGAATCGACACTGGGATGGCTGTGAGTATGCCACTGCACTCCAGCCTGAGTGATGGAGTGAGACTCCAACTCAAAAAAAAAAAAAAAAAGGAATTAAGAAAGATTTGCTTGTTTTAACAAATATTTAAGACATTTAAAATATTTAAAGCATCTCAAATGTATTAATGCAGCTTAAAATATAAAAAGATATTTAAATAACTATTTTCTAAGTGTCAACAAAAATTCATCAAAGACCTCCTTGAAATTATCCATACTTACTGGATTTATAACTAGAATAATAAGCTATATAAATTGACCTTAATAACTTAACAGAAAGCTAGTTTGTTTTTTATTTTTGAAAGTCAAATGAAATATTACATTACAAAAACCAAATAACGAGTGCAGAAAAGCCATCATCACAGATACCAAAAACGTACATTGACAAGTAGACTGTGATCACAACCCTAGGAATGGACTAAAGAGAGGCCCAAGGAGGAAGAGAATTTTTTGTAGAGGACCAGGGAAGACATTCTAAGAAGAAATGAAATCATCTTAATGCCTGCGGAGAGGGTAGGTGGCTGAAGTCACATGGGTAGTGTTTCTAGAAACTGAACTCCCTGCCTTCTCCCGTTTCTAAACTTTAAATTTAAAAAAATTAATGTTCAATGGGATACTATTAAAATAATTTAAGAAATCTAAAGTATTTCAAAATCCAACTAAGTAATTTTTTTTAAAAGTTAAATACAACTTGGGGGGACAGGGGAATAGGACTGGTTAGAAGGTTCAAGTTAGGACAAAGAAATAGGTAGCAAAATAACTAGAATCCAAAGGGCACGCCTCTTCCTGTATTCCCCCATTTCAGGGAAGGGTATTTTCTTTCCTTTTCTTTTTAATTTTTATTTTAAAGATGTGGGGTACAATTCAGGCTTAGGTATACAAATATTCATTATGCAGATACCCTGGTTGATGAAGTGTGCCCCCAGCTTCCTTAGGCAGATTCCCACTGCTGCCGATCCGCTTCCCCGCTCCCAGGGAGGGGCATTTACAAATCTCCTCAAAGGTTCGAGTGAGAATCCTGAGTTCTTGTTGCCCTTGACTTGACCCTCTACCCTCTCGTGCCCTTCAATGCCTGGTTCTAAGATTCTCCTCCTCAAAAATCTATAAATCCACCCTCCCTCCTGCTTCTAACCCCACTGTCATTCTCATTTCTATGCTAAGTTGCTGAAATGGCTTCTGTCTGTTCTCCCTGCCTTCTGCTTCCAGCTTGGCTCCATCCCTAACCTCTCTCCAACTAGCCAGAGCAAAGCTTTCAACACCTGAGTTGTGTTTCTCCCCTATTTGAACATGAACAGGAAGTCCTTAGCGAGGCACAGGAAGCCTTCGTCACCTAACCACTCCCAAGGCCTCCACCTCTACCTGTGTCCTCCTCAGGTCCTGCCTCTCCTATTCAGCAGCACTCAAAGTGTCCCCAAAGCCCTGTGCGTTCTTTGTTCCTGGGTATGTGTTTTCCCTTCTTGCTCCCACTCTTCCCATAGCCAACTCCTCACCCTTCATGGCCCGGCTTGAGCAGTTTTCCCC